GCATTAATACCAAGTAATGAACTTTATTTGTTGTTTGGCCATATAGTATCGAGGTTTATCTTCATCCCAGGTCATGATTATGAATTTTCTGGTCATAATTTTTGGACAAACTGCAAATACTTTATTCTTATTCCTATAATTATCTAGGTTGATTAGGGATGGCAATGAGGCTTGTGGGGTTGGAGAGTCCCTTCCCGTTCCTGTCTTCGCAAATGGTGGGGATGAGAATCCCACCGGGGATGTTTGACGGGAGGTGGGGAACGGGTTGGGTCTTTGCACTAATTAATATCAAATTATAATTTTATAAATATAATTAATTAATATTTAACTATGATGAATAAAATTTTAAAAATTCAAGTATAATTAACTAAATTTTTTTAAATATAAAATCAAATATAAATTGTTTAAACATAAATAAAGATCAATTCAATATAAATAGCTAAATCAACAATTTGTTTCAAATATAAATAAAGATTAATTCAACATAAATAGCTAAACCAACATATTTGTTCCAAACATAGGCAAAAATCAATCCAATATAAATAAAATAACTAAACCAACATCCAAATTCCAACATGAAGGGAGGGCAACTCAAGACACCTTAACTTTCAAAATCCACATGTGCTCATCAAAAATCCTACAATACAATTAGTAAATAGTTCATGTTAACATATTTATAGAAAAACTATTTACATTATTAGTATAAAAAAAAGTCATGTATATTTTACTTCTGAATTACTTTCTTCACCACAATCCACATCCTCATTAAGAGTAAAGAAACTTACATCATCCAAAAAACCTATTTCAAAAGAATAGTTATGCCTTTAAATTGAACTATAAAATAGATTCTCATACCAAATTAGTCATTAAAAAAATAAACTTTGAACTTTTCTCTAGTTAATGGGAATTCTACCCTTTCACAGTTTCACTTTTCTATTTTCTCCTGGAAATGTGAGCATTCATAGTTTTCTCAACTTCTTGATTTTACCAAGAAGTTACTACACTTTTCTATGTTGTATGTATATGTAAAGAAATTAACTAAGCAATTCACTAATAGAAATGGCTATGAGCAGTTAGAGAATCAAGTAAACTCTAGAAAATCCAAACTTTTTTTATGTTAATTCAACCATAAATAAATTATTTATACTTCTAACCATTTGGATTTGTAGCCTGTAGGTGAAGTAGTCTAGCAGTAGAGATAGAGTTCAGCAGTCCAGTTTAGCAATCCAATAGATCGAATGGCAGATGGCTTCTTGATGGCAACAGTCCAAATGGATTCGACAACAACAATGTAGCCTAGTAGAAGTCCACTCCAGCAGTAGTATGTAGTCTGGCTTCGACAATAGCTCTAGCAAATCAGTAGGCGGCAATGGAGGGATTTAGGGTTACTAGGTTAGGAGAAAGGCAAAGGTGAAAGTGAGATTTGAGAAACTAGAAGTGAGAAAGATTAAAAGAATGAGTGTTGAGCAAGAGCAACTAAGTTGAGTGACTGAGTCTGAGATTCTTGACTCTTGAGTGTCGACGATAGAAGGGGAGGGGAAGGTTTGAGTGATGAAATGAGTAAGGTTAAGGTTAAATGGTTAATAATGGGTTGGGTTGGGTAAATTTGGGTTAAGTTTAATTTTTATTAGATTTGGATTGGGTTTGAAGGTTGAATTAACTTTAAAATAAAATTAATTTACATATTTTTTTAATTTTTTGTGAGGATGGGGATCCTCAAGAGGTGGGGAAAATTGCTCATGAAATTTCACAAGAGGAAAATGCCCCCAATCCCCGTCCCACAGGGAGGAATAACAAGGAAGAATGTTCCTCCTCGCTCCATCCTTGTGGCAAGGATTCCCACGAGACCCCGTGAGAATCGAAATAAATTGCTACCCCTAAGATCGATTAGTGACCCTACAAAGATCTTATTAATTAGTTAGTAACTTAAATAATTTAATAGTAATTTTTTTCTAGTGAAATTAAAAGGTGTTGAGTTCAAATGATATGGTACGTGAATGAAATGAATTAAGAAATATGAGATAACTATATTTAATTATATATATCTATATATAATCTCACTCACCATAAAACTAGTGTTTGCACGGACTGCAAAATATTTTCGAATATCTATAAATTGTATTTTAGTCACAAGGTACAGGGTAAACATTCATTATCAACTACAACAAAATTAGGATACATTAAAAAATTTTCTTAATACCTCTCAAGTTTGGTAATTTCGCTCTTTGAGTTCCTGAAATTGACCTGGTTAAAAAAGAAAAGTTCATCCTATATATATATATACATATATATATTAAAAAAAGTACATACTAAAATCACAGTTTAGATATTAAAATATTAAATTATTATTAATAAATAAATATATGGTCATATGGAAGAGTGCCATTATGAGAATTTTTGTAATTTAGTTTTTGAGCTACACTTTTAATACAATTTAGATTGTTATTGTTATATTTTTAATTATTAATATCAAATTTTTTTTTCTTAATTAACAATCATATCTTTTAATTTATTAAAGAACAAAAAAAAATAAAATTTTAAGAAAAAATTTAATATAAAAACATAATAAATAATTATATTAAAAAAATATAACAATAACTCCACCCATTTAGTCTCACTTACGAAGTAAAAACTACTTTTTTGATATACTTTTTTTTTCACATTTAAATGTACTTCGATTAAACGCATAAATTTTACTCCCTAACATTTATTTAATTAAATTTCCAAAATGACATAAGTATTTATAATGTCACATTGTCGATAATGATAAGGGAAATGATTTTGAGATAACCTTTTCATCTCAATTTTTAGTACAACCTGATGTGTCATTAAAATGATTGGTTCTTTTAATTATATAGGACTCGTAATATTGAATGCATCCACTTATTTAATGACATGTGGAAGTTGTATCAAAAAGTAAGATGAAAAAGTTGTCCCAATAACACCACTCTAATGATAATATAATATTTAAATAAGTAAATATATATATAGTATTTTTATAAAAGAATGAATGGTAATTGATACACACTCCGGTTCACTGCATGACACACTCATTAAAAAATTATTATTTTTTATCTGAAATTAAAAATAAACAAGTTTGATGATATAGTTATACACACAAGATACACGAACTGGTTAAATTAATTGTATTTATATTAGACAGTGATTGTTACACCCAATATTTCAACACTCAGTTCAATATCCTCTGATTTAATCATTAAAAAATGACTATTTTTTTAGTTTGAAATTAAAAACAGACAAGTATAATGATACAATCATATACGCATAATACAAGAACTGACTAAATTGACTGTATTTATATTATATTTTTAATGACTAAACTGGATGGTGTTGAACCGGGTGTTAAAATATTGGATGTACCAATCATTTCCCATTTATATTATATTTTTTATCACTAAACCGGAGTGTGTCAAAAAATGTATTGAATCGGAGGATGTACTAATCATTTTCTTAAAATAATGCATATAATATCACTCTAAATAATTGACATAAGTGATTTCATTGTCACATTTTTAATTATTAATACTATTTTTTATTTTAATTGATTATTATATTTTTTAATTTATTGAAAATGTAATCTAAAAGTATGATTAAAAATTGTATTAAAAAATATAATATTAATTATTTCAAGTGTGACAATAACCCACTTAATTGACACACTAAATATTAAAATGCAAATATTTAGGAGTGGGTATATTTTATCATCGAATTGAATTTATGCAACTTTCGTAATTGAGAATTATGAATTTTCAATTAAAAATCTGTTGTTCCTAATAATTGATGTACAGTATATCTCAAGAAAAGAACTCTGAACCTCAAATTTAAAATTTTAAGTTTCTTTTAGTATAGTTTTGGTTTTGAATTTTTTTTATTTTTTATATATATTTAGTAAATAGTATTATATTTAAATTAAATTTAATAAATATAAATTTTATTTTTAAATTTAATAATAATAATTACTAAATATATATCAATGATATGTTAGTTCAAATGAAAGCAATTCAATTTTTTTTAAGTAAAATTTTGAATTTTGATCTTGTAATTACATAAATAAATGTTAGCAAATCTTCACTTTATAAGATCCAAAATAATTTAACTCCAAATTAATCGGGTATATCAAATCCATGATGAATGGATTAAATTTCAAGAACCTAAAGTTGAGAGATCTATACTAATCTGTCCAAGAAACTACATCCATATTGAATAATGACTTGTCCACTTTATGTATATATATTTTCGAATAAATACCAGGTGATGAGCTTTATCTTTTGTTTGGCCAAAAAGTATCAAGGTTTATCTTCATCCGAGCTCATGATTATGAATTCTCATGTCATAATTTTTTGGATGAACTGTAAACACTTCAGTTCTATAATTAATTGGATCTATCAATAGTTTTACAACTTCAAGTAACTACAAAACATGATTAATTAATCATTATATAAACAATGGAAGCTTGACTAAAGCGGAGGAAATTATATATCCGTATACTAAAGAAGAGTTGTGAAGATTATTTCAAAGGTTTCCTTTACTGAGAACAGAGTATACTGGAGAGCAAAAGCTTGGAACTGCTACGGGAGCCGGTTGATCTTTAGAGCCTTGAACCTGTTAGTTTTAGGATCATAAGAAACCAGAGCTTTCTTGTTACACACCAACACAATCTTCTCGTTCTTCAGGACACATAAAACTCTTATGAATCTTCCCACCCAGTTCGAAGCAAAATCTTCAATCACCATTCCAACAGGAGCATTATGAGACTTGTTACACTCCAACACAATCTCCCTCTTCTTCAGAACTGCTTTTCGAAAAAAAGGTAGATAATAGTCAGGTGGATCTCATTGCCATGCAACAGAGAGGTCACCCATGATGATGTAAACTGTTACTGATGCATTGATGATCTAAGATTCAACACAAACTAAAAACTAGAAGTAGAGTCTTGCAGAAAAAGAGAAGTTAAAATTGCAAATTCATGGTTGCTTTTGCTGAGAAAAGAGAAGGTAGAAAAGGAAGTGCCTGGAACTCATTGGGTAACTCCCTCATTTGAAGAGTCTTGATTCTGTTCTGTACGGGATCATAAGAAACCAGAGCACTGTAATTATACTGCAACAGAATCTAACCATTCTTCTGTGCACATTTGACTTTGGGAAATCCTTTTAAGAAGCTTGGCCATCTACTAGGAAAATAGGGATCAAAGGAGAATTGTTTTTCCCAAGATTCCTTAAAACGGTATTGCTTCATCACCCAGGTATCAAAATGCACAGCATCAATTAACCTAGCCGCCGATAGACACCCATTGAGCACGGAAAGACTGCAGCCGCGTGACACAAGTCGTTGACAAGGTGGGTGCGGAATTTCTTTGAACACCTCATCTGCAACGTTGAAGGAGATAATACCAAAGATAGGACCGACTCCTCCCATCCCAACAACAGTCACCCAATGGAGAGATCCTTCAACTAGAGTCTCAGATGGTCCAATTTTATACGCCAATTGTGGATCGATGATGGGGCAGATTTACTAAATTTTGATAGCAATTCAGATAAATTAGGGAAGACGTCGGTTTCAACAGAAGTCTTATATTTTAATTTAAAATTAATTAAAAATAACTTCAAAATTTACACTTAACCACTATTTGAATTTCTATGAAAATTAATCTTCATTTAACAACAAGCTTACCATTAACCATTCTTCTAAAAAAAAATTGCCATTGCAATTGCAATTGTATGTAATTGATACCAACAGAATTAAATTTAATTAAACGAGGTACTTGTTTTTTTGAGAGTTTTGGAGGAATGCAAACTTATCATGCATTAACAATTCTCCTAAAAAATCAGATGGATACCAATAAAAGTTTAGTCGAATTCCATGAAGATGTGATTTTGTTATTGCCTACAATTAATTGAACCTAGGACTTAGAAAGCAAAAGTGGAGCAGATGATCTGGATATACATATTTGAACTGATGAGTTTGTACCAACATTAATGTACTTACAAAGTAGAGTTGGAGAAGAGATTTCAGATGATATGTGCCACCAAGACAAAGCGCAGAACCCATGAGTTTGTACTTTCATAGACAAAGCTCAAAAAACTTGATGCACTAAAATCACCTTAACAAGTGTATTAGTTGCTCTAAATAATATAATGATGAAAAGTGTTCAACCCACAAGGATTGTGTTTAATTAAGTATCAAAATAATTAATCTAAATTTATTTGAACAATTGAAAAAAAGAAAGAAAACTTAATTAGCAAAATAATAAAAAGAAAATAACAATTAAAATAAACATAATCAAGATATAAGGTACTCGACTTCATCATAATCAATCAATATAAATTCTGGATTAATATACTTTCAAAACTAATTTATCCAAAACTAATTTATTGAGTGTTATTGCATGTGATGACGGATTTCTCTAAATTAACTAACTAGTTTTCTCAAGTTAAATTAATTCTTCACTTATTTGTTAAATCAATTATATCTCTATATAATTTTAAACAAACCAATGAACATTAAATTCTATGGAAACCTCTAGTTAAGAAAGGGGAGCTCCTAACTCTCTTCTCTTCCTCCACTACCATATGTGAGCTAATTACCTCTTGATCTCATAGTCTAACACATGGTTTATATTATTAGTGATCTAATTTACGCAATTCTTTCTCAAGTTTATGCATAAATCATTAAATCAATTGAAAAGTAATCAAACTTCCAATGCATCAAATTCAATAATATAAACTTATCATGCAAATAACTTTAATTGAAAGCATAAAATCACAAAATTTATATTAAATTGATTAGGCTACATCATAGTTTTAATAAAATAAATTAGTTCACAATAGAAATAATAAAATTTGAAATTACAGTTATGAATATAAGAATATCTAAGAAAAAAACAAAACTTAATTTGAAGTAATTAAAATTTTTGATTTTCTATTATTGATGGATCCTCTATCTTGACTTCCAAGAATGCTGAAAAGAAGGTTGCCACTAACCTCCTCAATTGGAATAGAAGTGGGATTTGAAACAGAATAGGAAATTTGAAATTTGGACGCTGAACACATGGTGCTGATACATCAAATTACGTGTCGACACAAAACAGGAAATAAAAAGTCTAATTCCAAACGTTTAATGCATAGTGTCGATACCTCTATGTGTCAACACTACACCCGTGTCGAGTTTTTTTTGCAATTTCTTCAATGGTAAGTATCAGATCTAGTCCTCCATCTTTTTTATGATTAGCATTTAGATCCCAAAAATCAAAATTCATTCATTTAGGTCCCAAGGAGCAGCCTTCTTCTTGCAATTCAGTCCCTCAACTTTCAAAATATGTTCAATTAATCTCAAAAACTCTTATTGTTTACATTCAAGTCTTTTTCTGCACAAAGAATAAAAACCATGTAAAATTTCATTAAGTTTATCCAAATATTAATAATATCAAGACAGAAATTTCACATGAATATTTATATGAATTCAGTTTATCAATAACATATCTTGTCTCAAAGTTATTTATGTATTTATTTTACTACTAAAATAATATAATTATAAAATCACATAATATTGAAGGTTTTATAATATGATCCTCAATCTTCTCATCTTTCCTTCTTCTTTTCCTTTCTTTTTCTGCCTTCTCTCTTTATCCACCTTTCTCTTCTCTTTTCCTCTCTTTTATTCTTGCATAGATATTGTAAATTAGGCCATAGGGAACAAAGGAAAAGAAGAAAAAGGTCCATCTTGGTAAATGAGTCTAAATTACATGCCAATTTGACAATTTCTTCAAGCAAGAGAGAAAACATAATCATATATGGTTGACGGAAACCTAAAATATCATTGTAATAGCTTTCCCTTATTTGACAAATCACATCATCAAATCGTCAATTTCCTAAGAACAATATTATAGGGTAAAACCTATCAGTATTATGTTTGGTGTGAGTGAGTCACAACTTCAAGTAACTACAAAACATGATTAATAAATCAATATATAAACAATGGAAGCCTGACTAAAGCTCAGGAAATTATATATACGTATACTATAGTAGAGTTGTGAAGATTATTTCAAAGGTTTCCTTTACTGAGAACAAAGTATGCTGGAAAGCAAAAGCTTGGAACTGTTATGGGAGCCGGTTGGTCTTTAGAGCCTTGAACCAGTTAGTTTTAGGATCATAAGAAACCAGAGGTTTCTTGTTACACTCTAACACAATCTTCCCGTTCTTCGGGACACATAAAACTCTTATGAATCTTCCCACCCAGCACAAAGCAATATCTTCAATTAACATTCCAAGAGAAGCGTTATGAGACTTGTTACACTCCAACACAATCTCCCCGTTCTTCAGAATTGCTTTTTGAGAAAAAGGCAGATAATTGTCAGGTGGATCTCATTGCCATACAACAGAGGTCACCCACGATGATGTAAATAACACAACTGTTACTGATGCATTGATGATCAAAGATTCAACACAAACTAAAAACCAGTAGTAAAGTCTTAAGGTTAAATACCCTTTTTGGTCCCTCTACTATAGGAAAAAGCCCCTTTTTGGTCCCTGTACTGAAAAAATCCCTTTTTTGGTCCTTACTGTTCACAAATCCGGCCCCTTTTTAGTCCCTCCGTTAAAATTTTGCTGACTTGTCACGTTAATTAACGGAAACACTTATTCTTTTTCTTTACGAAATGACGTGGAAAATCCATGTGTCAAAAATTAATGACATGTTAAATTTTTTACTTTTAATTACTGATATAGCCTCGTCTTCTTCCTCGGCTTCTCCTTCCTCCAGCCTTTCTTTTTTTTCTTTTACCTCTAGGCGAACCCAAGAGCCTGGGTTCGCGAGGACATTCAATTCCCTTAAATTTTTAAAAAAACTAACAAACAATACAGTTTTAGCTTGCCTAAATTCTTCCCCTGCAATTCAATCAATCCTCACATTCTTCAGAGTTCAATCTATACAGACTATCAAACTCAACATTAAAACAAAAATCAATTTCCAAACTCAACATTCTTCAGAGCTTTGGGATCGTCCCTATCAGCTTGCTTGTACAGCTCCGGCTGCCCCAACCGGAACTCATTCTGCAGCTGAAACCTAACCAGCGGCAATTATTTGATGATGGATTCCTATGAAGATTGCCGTGGTCCTCCTCATTTTGATCCAAGCTAGCTGGGTTCCGCGCAGACCCAATGCTGGGTTTCGAGAGGAACCCAGGTCTGGGTTCCTCTCGAAACCCAGCTCTGGGTTAGCGAGGAACCCAGATCTGGGTTCCTTGTGAACCCCGCACAGGCTCTGGGTTCCTCATGAAACCCCGCATTGGGTTCCACGAGGAACCCAAGATGATGAAGATGATTCTGAAGAAGAAGAGGAGGGTGAAGAAGAAGAGGAAGAAGAAGATTAAAAAATTAATTATGTTTAATTCATAAATTAATAAAGTAAAATTTTTAATTTATATAAGTGACACGTAATATTGAGATAAAGTGTTTAGGTGTATTTATAATTTTGTCCACGTCATTTATAATTGTACATGTAATTTCCATGTCATTTATAATATTATTTATATAAAAAATAATGAAATAATTCCGTTAATTAACGTGACAAGTCAGCAAAATTTTAACGGAGGGACTAAAAAGGGGCCGGATTTGTAAACAGTAAGGACCAAAAAAGGGATTTTTTCGGTACAGGGACCAAAAAGGGGCTTTTTCCTATAGTAGAGGACCAAAAAGGGTATTTAACCAAGTCTTAAAGAAAAAGGGTTGACTCAAGAGAGAGATTTAAAGTTGTAAATTCATGGTTGCCTTTGCTAAGAAAAGAGAAGGTAGAAAAGGAAGTGCCTGAAAATGCATGGGTAACCCACTGATTTGAAGAGTCTTGAATTTGTTTTCTACAGGATCAAAAGAAACCAGACAACTGCAATTATACAGCAACAGAATCTCACCATTCTTCAGTGCACATACAACTGTGGAAAAGCCTGGCCATCCACCAATAGAATAGGGATCAAAGGAGAATTGTTTTACCCAAGATTCCTTAACACGGTGTTGCTTCATCACCCAGATATCAAAATGCAAAGTATCATCAACCAACCCAGCTGCCGATAGACATCCATGGAGCACGGAAAGACTGTAGCCGCTTGACACAAATCGTTGACAAGGTGGGTGCGGAATTTCATCAAACACCTCATCTGCAAGCTCGAAGGAGATAATACCAAAGATAAGACCGAATCCTCCCATCCCAACAACAACCACCCAATGGAGAGATCCTTCAACTAGAGCCTCAGGTGGTTCGATTTCATCCGTCAATTGTGGAGGCGGAGCTCCTTTGTATCTCCACTCTGTTGTTCCTACGGTAAATACCTGAACCATTGATTCATCAACGGTGGCGAATCCTTCATCCACTTCTTCCACTTCTTCCACATCTAGCGCCGGGTGTACTACCGTCATGATCTTCTCGTACCACACAATCCTGACCACTTTGAATTCTCCTGTCCTCGGATGAAACCCAAATGAAAAAACTTCACTTTGATTCAGAAATCGGTGCGCTGGTGGGACTCTCACAGCGTCTCCAACAAAAGGATTGTAAATTAGCAGACTGTAAGACTCCGATGAACCACCGATTAAGGATAAACATAACAGCCCGTTACAAGAACCCACCAGATTATCAACTTTGGAATGCTGTGGTGGGTCGATTTTCCTAACCCTTGGACTACAATCCTCAATATCCACAAAATAGAGTTTCCGAGGCCAGGAGCCAACCCAATTGTGGTTGAAGAGAATCAGACATGGGTTTGAGTCACTTACCCGGTTACGGAACATCAGAGGGAATCCAGGATCGGCGATTAAATCATAGCCGGCATGGGAAGTGGTCTTGAAGTGGATCAGAGAGGTGATCGGGAGTCTTGATAGGATTTCGAGCAGCATATCCAGTGGGAGATCATGAAGATCTCTCTGGACCATCTCTCTGTTGGAAGGATCATCTGCAAGTTTGACTCTTTTCTTCT